CACTCCATCACGATCTTTCCATACCCTTTGTAGCAGACGTGGCTAAAACACACTACAAAAGATTCCATAACCGTCTTTTAAATCATAGAAACCCACTCATGCACGACATCTCTTCCTTGACTATCCCAGGTAATCCTCCCAAACGGCTAAAACGCAAATGGTGTAGAAACCTACTGAATAATTAAATTTTAATACTAATGTCTTTTTTTTTCTTTTTTTGATAATGTAGTACCTCCACTGGGAGGCTTCTACGCTCTGTTATATACTTATATCTAGATTGTTATTTTATTTTTTTTCTTCTACTTTCCAATTTCATCAATTGTTCTTATTGTTCTTTTTGTAACAGATTGAATAAAACATTTATAAAAAAAAAAAAAAATAGTATAAGTTTATATCTTGTCTATATAAATTAGATATAAAACCTAGTTTTTAAATTCACTTTTTTTTCATTATTAAATTATCAAAATGAAACAATAGAACATGTTAGTTTATTGTACCAGCTAATTGTATGTATTTATAATTTGTTTTATGAGATTTTATTATTTTTATTAGCTATTTTAATTATAATGCATATTCAAATACCTACAAAGATATTCAAATTTTTAGCGGTGTAATAATTGATTATCGATAGATTATATTATTACCTGTTCTTGTTTAATTGAAATTTAATGTACACGTTTAATTAATATATTCTTTTGATAGTTATTAAATAAACCAAACTATTAACAAATARTGTAAAAATATGTAAGACTGCAATTATAATTATATTATATTTTTGTATTTAGTATTGTTTATGCACAAATTAAGAAATATGTCATCATAGGGTTAAATTTTAAAGGTATATAGTACATTAATAGAAGGCTGCTTATATATAATAACAAATCAGTTTTAAATTATGATTACTTTTAAATTTTATTTTAATTCAGATTGTTGAAATAATATCTGTATATATATATATAACAGTAAGCTGACTGATTATGATAATAATAAAATTGTAACTAATAAGTAACTAAATAATAAAAATAAATAACTAAATAAACTAATAAACTAGTAAACTAATAAATAACTAATAATTATCAAACTAATAACTAAATAAGTTACTAATTAATATGTATAAAATATTATATTTCAACAATCAGCTAGTTTTATACATATTAATTTAGTTTTTAAGATAATAACTATCATCATAACCTATTCTATAAGTTATAGCTTTTGGCGGCCGTAGCTTTGTTCACGATAAATTTTAGCAGTGAAGGTTCAAAATAAAATATGTTTTACTAATAGTTTTTCAAAATGTAGTCTACAAAACTTCTTTGTAGACAATGCTTTTCGCTGATCTATTAGTAGGCGACAAAATCACCAAGCTACTGGGTGAGCTTATGCGTGAGCAAGCTACGTAGAACTGCCCATGTGAAAAACAATTTTCTCGAAAATCTATTCCTGCAAATTTGAGAGTTTGGGCTTGAGACTTGTTTATAGTCATTGCAAAACAGACTTTGAAGGGAAACTTTAATCGTTTAAATTCGAACGGAAGATCATTCGGAATTAAAGGGATTCGTGGTACAAACACAGTTTCCTCTTTCGCACATCCAGTTAAAATTGTGGCTTCTACTGTTCTACTATATTGCGATGTAAGGCTTTGACTTTAAGCCTGGTCCCGTTGCACAGTTTAGGTGGTTTCAAATTTCGTAACAACATAATAGGTGTGCCCACACGCAGAATAAGCTTATGATATGGCATACCGGTGGTTTCAATGAATTTAAAAATTCAACCGAATAATAATTAGTTGCATCGTCTATGTTGACCACCGTATCTATTGAAGTATATACTTTTTCTTCCCCTTCAAAAGACATCAGCAGTGTATCATTGATAGCCGCCGCTTGGTTATTTTTTGGAGTGAGTATAGCACGTTCACACAACCATTCCATAGGCTTATCATGAATATGAGCAATATCTGGATACATTTTTGATATTAAATCCTGTAGTTACAACTGTGCTCAAACTTTCTGGGATAGTTATCATTTAATCAAACGATGGATAATCACCATTGCCAATTTCAAGTAAAAGATCTGCAAATCTACCAGCAAATTTTTCCTCTCCCAAGTATATCCTCATATTTTTTGACAGTTTGAGTATATTAATCTATCTGATGCCATAAAGTAGATCTTTTAAGACATGACTTGATTTCATCAGTTCTGGTCCCTTTTGGTACTACTGGTAGAGTCTGTCTAAAGTATCCAGCCAGTAAAACCGTTACACCACCCATTAACCTATTATTTTTTAGATGGAAACCCTCTGGCCGCTGTGCCGTACCGTATTTCCCGTAATCGGTCAAATGCTATTTTTATTATTATATGAATATAGATATACAAATTACATGTAAAAATTTTTTTTACCAATTTAAACCCTTTAAATTCAAAATTTTGAAAAATCCTTTCTTAGCGGATGCCTACGCCATAATAGCTATTTGTATGCCAAATTTCAGTCCAATCCGTCCATTGGTATGAGCTGTGCGTTGATAGCAGTCAATCAGCTTACTGTTTTATATATACAGATAATTCAATTTTATCATAAAATAGAAATAATAATAAAATGATTATGATTAAAAATCAAGTATAAAATACATAATATTATAATATTATAATATTAAATTCAAAACATGTTATTGCTAAAAGTCAAAATGTTCACAAATGAAGCATATTAACTAGATCATGTTTACGACGCGTCTTAAATTAAAAACACTTAATATTATTCTAAACAGCTTATARAAAACRCTTGAAAACAAAATGTTTGTCTAAGTACTTTTTATACTTACTTTATACAGTTTCTAAAAAATAAATAATTTGAAATTAACATTAACATATTAATTATTTATACACAATATTCTCAATGATGATAATAAGAGGCATACATTGACATGCAAAATTGTTGCTACCCATGCTTGTAAAATTCACTTCTTTGTACCAGTTACGCTACATTACGTTGAGGAAAATTGGTTGATGGTAACTATAGTACATGATTTAAATGTCGAAACAATCGATGAAGGCAACTCGTTCCATCCCATCACTCGCCTTCCTGCACTCACTAATAACAACTCACCCGACTGTTCAAAAAAAGATGTTAATTCCCTAAACACTTCATATACTTGGATTTGAACTTTTATAGTATTTTTTACACTTGAAAACTAAATTAGATATTTTAATAAAAATTCACAAATACTAATTTTCTCGAAAACAATTTTTTCACATTCTGTACATAATGTTATATATTCCATGATTTTAGGTTTTTAAAAACAAAAATATAATTATATTGAAAAATAGATGTTTTTAAATATAATTTATAGGAAAATAAATATTTCAAAACCTTAAATCATGGAATATATGTATAACATTATATACAGAATATAAAAAAATTGTTTTCGAGAAAATTAGTATTTGTGAATTTTTATAAAAATATCTAAATTAGTTTTCAAGTGTAAAAAATACTATACAAGTTCAAATCCAACTATATGAAATGTGTGGGGAATTAACATATTTTTTGAACAGTTGGGGGGGGGGTTGTTATTAGTGAGTGCAGTAAGGTGAGTGATGGGATGGAACGAGTTGCCTTCATC